CTACTGTGTGCCAGGCCTTGCCTAAAGCAGTGCAAAGTAAAACATGGGTCCCGTCTTCTTTCAGTCTGTGATTTATTGATGTAGAGAGGCACTAAACAAGTGGATTAGAGGGTGAGTCATGATCAGGTCAGATATGAAGGGAAAGGACAGGGTGCTCTCAGGGAGGATAATGGGAGACATGTGTTTTCTTCTTCTTTTTTCAATATTTATTCTTCTCTCTTACATTACACCCTGACTACAGTTTCCCCTCCCTCCTGTCAGTCCTAACATCCCACCTCCCGTCAGGCTGGTGAGAAAGGCTGCTGCCTGGGGCTCTGGCTCCCCATGCTGAGTACTGACTAATACTCATCTGTACACACAAGTGTGGCTCCAGCCTGCTCAGGATCCTGGCGGTTGTCTGCTGTTTCTAGTGTTTGTTTGTTTGTTTTTTTCTCGAGACAGGGTTTCTCTGTGGCTTTGGAGGCTGTCCTGGAACTCGCTCTGTAGACCAGGCTGGCCTCGAACTCACAGAGAACCGCCTGCCTCTGCCTCCCGAGTGCTGGGATTACAGATGTGCGCCACCGCTGCCCAGCTGTTTCTAGTGTTTAGAGAAATGCTAGCTTATATAGTTTGGCCTCTCCCAGTCTTTGTGACTACCAGTGAGGCAGAACAGGGGACTGGAGCAGGCCTCATAAGGAGACTCCCGTTTAACCCATTGTTTTATAGATGAGGCTAAGACGGGTGGCTTGTCAGTGTGTGACGGAATGAGGGTAGGGACTGCTGATCTAGTTTGGAGTCCCAGCCTTGAAGGAATATAAAGACCCACAAACAGAAAACCGTTTCCCTTTATTTGAATGCTTCTGGGGAGTGGGAGGGAATATAAGGTAGGGTGGTTATTTTCTTTTCCTTTTTCTGTTTGCCTTTGAAAGTAGGTGTTTGAGGCCAATCTTAGCAACATGATGAGACTCCTGTGTCTGAAAACTAAGAGCCAGGTATATGGTGCACACCCTAATATCAGTGCTTGGGAGGCAGCTGAAGGATCTCTGTGTGCTGGAAGTCAGCTGGTCAGTTACCTGGTAAAACCCTGTCTCAGAAAAAAAATCTGCATCAAATCACCAGCTATTTTTATTTCTGAGTCGTCCCTCTAATCTTTCCAGGGGTGTTTTTCACAGCTATATACACCCCTCCTCCTTTGTGTCCACTTGTGCGTGGAGTTCACATTCCTCCAAGTGCTAAGGCAGAGGAGCAGGCAGCCCGGAGAGGCCAGGCATGAGATTAGGCCTATCTCACCTTTGTTTGTGCTGGACTCTTTGATGTCAGGTCCGCATCTAGTGTCCTGTCTCAGGCATCAGACCACACTGAAGCTAAGGCTAGAGGTCCCCCAAACTTCTGTGACTTGTTTTTGTTCTTGCTGGTCCCCTCACTCTTAAAATTTTTACTTTCGGGGAACTGGAGAGATGGCTCAGAGGTTAAGAGCACTGGCTACTCTTTCAAAAGACCTGAGTTCAATTCCTGCACCTACTTTGGCAGCTGAAAACTGCCTGTAACTTCACTTCCAGGGGATTTGATATCCTCTTCTGGCTTCCATGTCAGCAGGCATGCATTTGGTTCCCACATACATGCAGGCAAAACATCCACACACATGAAAAAAATTATACTCCTTCCTTCCTTTCTTCCTGTTTCAGATGGGGCTGTAGTTTTCTGTCCCCTGGACTAGACAATGTGGAATAAAGTTCTTAGGTTCAAGAGGCTATCCAAGTCTACCTTGGGACTGGGCAATGTAAGGAGGCTGGAGGCTGTGGCTGTTTCTCTGTGGGAGGCCCTGGATGCTGCAGGGCCGGGCAGGACCTCTCACCCGTACTGCTTATGCTTAGGAGCCCTGGGTGATTCGCTGCAGGTGAGCTGATGGGGATCCTCAGAACCCTCACTCTGGTTTCCTCAGTAAGGGGGAGACTGAGGCTCACCCTGCTTTCGTTTTAAAAGCACCCACTCTCCCAATGGCACTGTCTGCACGCTTCCAAGCAGAACTTTTTTCCTTTCTGAGACAGGGTTTCTCTGTGTAAGAACCCCAGCTGTCCTGGAACTTGCTTTGTAGACTAGGATGGCCTCTCAGAGGCCACAGGGATCTGAGTGCCTCCTCCTCTGGAGTGCTGGGATTAAAGGTGGGTGCCACCACACTGTGCTATTCTTTTCTTAAGATCCAAATCACGTGCTGTCTCCCAGCAGCCTGCGATGACCTGCCCAATTCCATCCCATACTCTTCCTAAAGAATCAGTTCGTTTTTATTCTGTACCCTCAGATCTAGCACATCAAACTTCACAGTACACAACAGCGCTTCCCCAGTGGACTGCAGGTTCTCCACCTGCTGCCTGCGCTTCCGTGGACTTCAGCTTTACCCAATGGTCTCCACCCCACAGTGTGGTCTCCACCCCTGTCCTTCTGCACTTGACAAGTTCTCAGCACCACAGTCACCCGTAATTAAGCACAAAGCTATCTGGAAGCTGCTTTGGGTTAAACGTGACGTGGACAGCCTCAGTCACACCCTCGCTCTCATAAAGCCCTGGAATTTCGGTAGAGTGGGAAGCAGAACGCAGAGGCACTTCCCTCCACAGAGCACTTGCTATTAATTCTTTGGTTAAAAAAGTTACATATTAATTAATTTGTGTGTGTGTGTGTGTGTGTGTGTGTGTGTGTGTGTGTGTGTGTGTGTGTGTGTGTGTATGAGATGTGTCCATGAGTGCAGCTGCCCTGGAGACCGGATCCCCTGGAGCTGCAGTTACTAGAGGTTGTGAGCTGACCAACATTGGTACTGGGTACTGATCTGAGATCCTTTGCAACAGCAGTTGCTTGTAACCTGAAGCTGCCTCCCCAGCCCCACGTTAATGTTTACTTACATTTTTTTCCATGTATGTACACATACATATGAAGACAGTGGGGTGGGGGCTTGGTTTTCTCCTTCCATGATGTGGGTCCTGGAGTTTGAACTTAGGTGTCAGCCTAGGCAGCAGATGGCTTTATCTACTGAGCCATCTTGGCAGCCCCTGTATTTACTTCTTACACCATCACGTGATGCAGATACTATCCCCATCCTGCAGATGAAGAAGCTTAGCCTCCAAAGCACTGAGCAATTACCTCTGGGAACAGAGCTGTGGGACCAAGAAGTCAAGTGGGAAATTCCACCATGACACAGCAAGCCTCAGAGAAAGTCAGGGCTAAAAAACCAGGGACTTTCTCTAGTCAGAACTGTCTCTCTCACTCTGCTCGGCTACTTTTTTTTTTTTCCTGGTATTTCCTGAGAATGCGAAGTGACTGGCCTCATGTCAGCGATCTCCTGTCCTTGTCAGCCTGCTCAGAGTCCACCCCGCCCTTGCAGAACAATGCAAGTGGACTCAACGTTCCCATTGAACAGCGAGGAAAAGAAGAGAATAAAGTTATATATTCATGGTCACACAGTCTGAGCAGGACAGCTAGGACTCTGTTCTAGGACTGTCACATTGGAAAGCTCATGTTCTTTTTAGATTTATCTATTTTATTTATGTGTATGAGTGTGCAGCTCTGTGTGTGTGTGTACTCTGTGTGTGTGTGTGTGTGTGTACTCTGTGTGTGTGTGTGTACTCTGTGTGTGTGTACTCTGTGTGTGTGTGTACTCTGTGTGTGTGTGTACTGTGTGTGTGTGTACTGTGTGTGTGTGTGTACTCTGTGTGTGTGTGTGTGTACTGTGTGTGTGTGTGTACTCTGTGTGTGTGTGTGTACTCTGTGTGTGTACTCTGTGTGTGTGTACTGTGTGTGTGTGTACTCTGTGTGTGTGTGTACTCTGTGTGTGTGTGTACTGTGTGTGTGTGTGTACTCTGTGTGTGTGTGTACTCTGTGTGTGTGTGTACTGTGTGTGTGTGTACTCTGTGTGTGTGTGTACTCTGTGTGTGTGTGTGTACTCTGTGTGTGTGTGTACTGTGTGTGTGTACTCTGTGTGTGTGTGTACTGTGTGTGTGTGTACTCTGTGTGTGTGTGTGTACTCTGTGTGTGTGTACTCTGTGTGTGTGTGTGTACTGTGTGTGTGTGTACTCTGTGTGTGTGTGTACTCTGTGTGTGTGTACTCTGTGTGTGTGTGTACTCTGTGTGTGTGTGTGTACTCTGTGTGTGTGTACTCTGTGTGTGTGTACTCTGTGTGTGTGTGTGTGTGTACTGTGTGTGTGTGTGTGTACTGTGTGTGTGTGTGTACTGTGTGTGTGTGTGTGTGTACGTGTGCTGGAGCGGACACGCGAGCATGCCTGGTGCCCCCTGGAGGTCAGAAGAGGGGGTTGTTTTTCCCTGTAACTGGAGTTATGCATGGTTGTGAGCTGCCATGTGGGTGCTGGGACCTGAACCTGGGACATCTGCAATGGAGGGACCACAAAACCATGGACCAGAAGTTCAGAGGAGAAAGCTACCTCTTTGGGAGGGGCACCTTTTCATGACTGAGTCTCAGAGCCGGTGGTAAGGGAAGGGATCCTTAAAGGGAGGGCTCTGTCCGGACTTGGGAAGGGTGGGCCTGGGCTTAGGTAAAAAAGCATAAAAGGGTGAAGGGCCAGAGCTGCCTGCAGAGAGCCCTGGATGGCAGAAGTCGTGGATGAGGGAGCAAGGGAGGCCTGTTCGTCACCCATTGTGAGGAAAACAAAGCACAAAGCCACTCAGACAAAGTGGCTTCATGGAGGGAGCCTGCTTCAGTCAGTGGGAAGCTCAGCATACATGCAAATTGTTCCCTCTGATGGGCGGGTCTCATGGAGCCCAGCTTGCACTGTGAGAGCCTAAGGGCTTCTCCTGAGAGGGCCATTGCAGCCGTCGACATCTACCCAGGGTTTGTGGGTGTTCTTCACTTCCTATATGCTTGTTGTCAGTGTGGAGAGTTTATGTGTGCGTTTTACTCATTAAAAAAATTTATACCCTTTTGTGTACCCAGAGTTCATATACTAAATTTTCTTTTTCTTTCTTTCTTTCTTTTTTTTGCCACACGTCAAAAAGAGCCTTTATTCCTCTGTGCAGCCTCATGCTTTCTTACCAGCGGCCTTTGAAGCAGGTGCTTTCTGGGCGGGGGTTTTCTGACCCTTCTGACCTTCAGCGGGAGCCGCTGCCTTCTGGCCTGCAGCCTTCTGGGCCACAGTCTTCTGGCCTGGTCCTGTAGCCTTCTTGGCTGGAACCTTGGCTTTAGCAGCAGCTGCTGCAATGGCAGCCTTAGCAACAGGTGCCTTTTTGGGAGACGCTTTCAGGATAGCAGCTCTCTGAAGTTTCTTGACCTCAGTCTTGATTATTCTGTTCCTCATTTTCTTTGCCTTCATGACTTTGAAACGATCAAAATCTGTCATCTTGGCTTTCCTTTCTCGGGCATCAATCTTCTTGGCCCGTCTTGTGGCTGCCCATTTCGTATTGATGTCTGCCTTTTCCCAAGCTTTCCTTACGTACTTCTGGCGGGGAACTGTGTGGGAACTTGAGGATGAAGTCGGTAAGCTGCATACATTTGAAAGGCATGGCCTGTCTCCTCACTCGAGTGCAAGGTCCATCTACTAAAGCCCTGTTCTGATTGATCACATCCACGATTGCGACCAGCTTGCCGACATGAGGCCCGAAGGAGACATAGGCTACCGGGCCGACCTCCACGTAGCGCCTGAACACCATGTCGGCAGCGTTCAGCGAGAAGGATATACTAAATTTTCAATGAGAAAAAAAAAGGTAAAAATAATGGGGTCCTGTGAACTTTCACCTAGATATTCCCCCAAAATTAAAAGACTCATTTGTGTGTGTGTGCGCGCGCGCGCGCCTGTATCTGTGGAGACCAGAAGAGGGAGTTCGATCTCCTGAAACTGGAGTTACAGGCAGTTGTGAGCGAGCTGCCTGTTGTAGGTTCTGGGAATCGAACTCTGGTCTTCTGAAAGAACAGTGAGTGCTCTTACCCACTGATGTATCTCTCCAGATCCTATCTTAGTTTGTTGTTGCTGGTTTGTTTTTTTATTTTGTTTTGTTTCTGAGACAGGGTTTCTCTGTATAACCCTAGCTGTCCTGGAACTCACTCTGTAGACCAGGTTGGCCTCGAACTCACAGAGCTCCTCCTGCCTCTGCCTTCCAAGTGCTGGGATTAAAGGACTGTGCCACCACTGCTGGGTCTCCTATCTCAGTTTTTAAAAGCTTTTTTTTTGGTTACAGTTTTATTTGCTTATTTGTGCATATGTGAGAGTGTACTCACATCACAGTGTGTGTACATGTGGGAGCCAGAGGACAGCTCTTTCCTTCCACCATGTGGGTCTCAGGGACTGAACTCTGCTCTTGAGAACCTGCCTTTATCAGGTGATAAGTGCCTTTACATGCTGAGCCATCTTGCTGGCCATAGATATCCCAACTTTTAACATATTTTCATCCCTCCTCCTTTTTTCCTTCTTGCCCTGCCTTCTCTCTTTTTTCCCCTGAGTCTATGGGTATATACATTTCTGTTCATCATTGTTTTTGAGCCATTAGAGAGAAGTTGCAGACATAATGCTTCTCCATCCCATGATACCTCATCATGTATTTCCTAAGGACATTGGCATTCTATTTTTATCACCATTATTTAATACAATAAGCACTTACATTTATCCTAATTATGTCAACATTTCTATTTCTATTTTTTGGTTTTTGTAGGGATTTGATAGACTATCTCACGATGTAGCTTAGACAAGCCTAGAATTTGCTGTATAACTCAGGCTGCTCTCAGACTGGCAAACCTTCTGCCTCTGTCTTCTGGGTGCTGGGATTGAAGGCGTATGTCACTATGCCTGAGTCTCCCATTAATGGGGCTTTTTGGATGGCCCCCCACTTGATGTAGAATTTCATATAGCCTAGGCTAACCTTGAACTTGCTATTGTAGCTGAGAATGGCTGACTTTCTGGTCTTTGCCTCTATTGCTTCCTAAGTGGTGGGATTACAGAATGCCTGGCTTATGTGGCCCAGGGGATGGAACCCAGGGCACTGTGCATGCTAGCAAGCTCTCTACCAACTAAGGGACCTGCCACCCCATTAGTGTTCCTTGTAGTTTTTCTCCCTACTTTGCAAGACCCAATTCAGGATTATGTGTAGCATTTTATGGTCACAGCTCTCTCATCGTTTTAAATCTTGAACAGCTCCCAATTTGTTGTGGGACACTGGTCTTTTTAAGCACCAGCCTTTAAAAAATTAAACATAGATCAGTTAGCTCCATTCTCTTCTCCTATATAAATTTTCTTAATGAATATTTCTGTTTTTCTTAATGCTAAAAATGAGAGTGTTTCTGTGAACCCGTTTGTTCACTGTCCTCTTTGGCATTATTTTTGTTGGGTGTGTTCCCAGAGGTGGCATACCAAGGCAAGAGTTATGCTTAAAGGTTGAAAGGAGAAATAATAAGGAGAGTGCGATGTCTCACATCCCCTGTGGCTTTTGTGTGTGTGTGTGTGTTTGTAATAGTTAAAGAGTTTGTGAAGGTATGTTAAGATTTTTCCATTAGGAATTTCAAGTAGTTAAAATGTTGTTTACTTTCCCCTTAACCTTAAATTTTATTGTCTTTGTTTCTTTACTTTTCCCCCAAAGCATTTATTTCCTTTTGCTACATTTGCATGGATAAAGTGAAAACCTAGCCATAGCAAGGCAGGTAGGGCACATGCAATCATCCTTGTTTCACATATGATGAAAGCAAGGCAGGCTGCCGAGGACTAGGAATAGGAGTGGAGTTCTGGACATAGACGGGAGGTGATACCTCCCCAAGCTGCAGAAGGAATGTGTGGTCCTTAGGGACCCCAGGATGCCAGTCCTGGGGTCTTCTTTGTCTCTGCTTGTATGAGTAAGTAGGACAGTTCTGCTTGAAAGCATGCAGACAGTGCCATTGGGAGAGTGGCTGCTTTTAAAACGAAAGCAGGGTGAGCCTCAGTCTCCCCCTTACTGAGGAAACCAGAGTGAGGGTTCTGAGGATCCCCATCAGCTCACCTGCAGCGAATCACCCAGGGCTCCTAAGCATAAGCAGTACGGGTGAGAGGTCCTGCCCGGCCCTGCAGCATCCAGGGCCTCCCACAGAGAAACAGCCACAGCCTCCAGCCTCCTTACATTGCCCAGTCCCAAGGTAGACTTGGATAGCCTCTTGAACCTAAGAACTTTATTCCACATTGTCTAGTCCAGGGGAAAGAAAACTACAGCCCCATTTGAAAAATCTGAATTGACTTCTGTGTGGCAGGCCCTGGAGCTTATACATATACATATACATATAGTCACATATATATATAGACATATATATATAGTCACAGAGATCTAGCTGCCTCTGCCTCTTGTACACTGGGACTAAAGGTTTGTGAGAGCCCCCGTGCCCAACTACCATAGGTTTTTACAAGTGAGCTTTTCCAGTGGATTTGATGGTAGGAAACTCCAAATTAGAACCTTAAGCAAGCAAAATGTTACCTGTACCACCATTTCTGTCTGGGGACCAATATTACTTGTAAAAGTCCTCAATTACTTAGTATATGTCGAATTACATCACTTATAGACATTTTGCTTTCTCCTGTGTTATATGATATTCAGATAGTCATGTGGATCCTGTCTTTTGGTCCTCAGTGCCTCAAATATTTACCATTTGGCCCTTTGCTGAGAAAAATACGCCTGCCCCTGTTCTTCTTCAAGAGTGCTGACTGTTTACACAGCAGAACTTGTTAAAGTGGACAGCCAAGGAGGGGAAGGAACCAGTGTGTAAGCAGGTCTCTGTGAAAGGGGAAGGGGAAGAGGGGCCCCGGGTCCCCTGCTCTGCCGTCCCTCTCACTGCTCACACAGGGCCCAGGTGTTCAGGGCTCATAGAAGAAGTCGCATTGCAGAACTGCCCAGGTGAACCCTGCTGCTCTCAGAGAGGAAGGGAAGGAGATCTGAGCACCAGGGACTGTCCTTTCTAGACCCCACTCTGCACTAGGCACAGGGCCCCATGGCCTGCCCTAATCCTTGCAGCCCTTGAGGTGCTGTGAATTCTTCCTTTTTTATAGTTGAGAAACAGAGGCTTAGAGACCTTCACCAACTAGCCACCAAGAGTCAGAGCTGGGTTTCACCAATGACGCCTGACTCTGGTCCAGCACTCCCTTTGAGGTATGAAGTTACCTAGTGTTTCCTTCCTGCCTGTGACCCTCAGGTCCCTCCAAAGAGCAGGGAAGAAGATTGATCGGTGCCTTTGGTATGTTCCTAGGTGTCTGTGGAGGATCCCTTTGATCTGTGTCCAATCCATTTCCATGACTGGGATAGCTTCCTGTCATACCCCTATGACAGCAACTAACCTGAGGCTCTGGTACCCTACTGGAGTTCTGAACTGCTGGACCTTCTGTCTTTAGGTCACTCATGCTTAGCACTTTAGGGTGAGGCTGCAAGCAGAGAGCAGACCATGACCCATGATTCTTTCTGGGTTGTGTGGCATTCCTGTCATCCTGTGTCTTGGAGGTACCTGACTGAGAGCAGCTGAGTCCCAAGCAGGAGGACAGCCCAGGGTCAGAGCCCGAAGGGCCCGTCCTAGCAGTACTACTCTCGAGCTCTGGCGTTACCAAGTCTGCATCTGATCCTGGCTCAGCCATTGTGAAATGTTTGATGGGAACAACTTGGCCCTCTTGTAGGCTGTGTTTATTTGTCCTGGATGGTCGTTAATTCACAGGGCTGTTAAAACACCACATGTGCAATACAAGCCCTCCATGTTTTCCATCCTTTTGGAAGCCCCATCCTTTAGCATCCAATGTCCAAATAAAAATGAACACTCCTGGACTACTGGCCCATGCCTTTAATCCCAGCAGTTGAGAAGCGGAGGCCAGCCTGCTCTACACAGTGAGTTTTAAGCAAGCCAGGGCTACATAGCGAGGCCGTCATAAATGAAGGCAGTGGCGGCAGTGGTAGCAGTGGTGTGGGTGTGTTCTGGGGAGATGGCTCAGTCGTTAAGAGTACTGTTGCTCTTGAAGAGAACCTGGATTTGGTTCCCAGTGTCACATAGTGGCTTACAACCACCTTTAACTCCAGTTCCAGGGGTTCAGACACTCCCTTCTGGCTCCCACATGTATCAGGCATGCACATGGTACACACACATGCAGGCAGGCATTTATATATATGCATACAAGAAAAACAAATCTTTTTTTAAAGAGCATTCCATTCATGGCACCAGGAAGTCCTGTTTCCTGATCCAGCCCTTCCAAAGCCCCCAGGGAGTGCTTCCTCCTCCACAGTCAGGCCCTCAGAGCTGGACCACCTACCTTCTTGGAGACAAGGCTACCTATCCTCTGTGACCTAACTCAGGCAAGCACCAAGGTCCAAATTTGAATCTGCCCATCATCTCTGAGACAGCTGCAGGGTCAGCTGAGAAAAGAGGAGTTTCTGCACAGAGAAGGAAATGGCTTCTAGGTGGGTAACAGACACCTCTGGTCATGTGACTTGTGTCCTCTGCCATGCTGCTGCTAGCATCTCTTGTACTTATCACCCAAGGGAAGATGGATGGTCCTTCCCTTCACACTTGGGCAACTGAGCCTGTTATTATGACCTTTCCCTAAGTGGATACTATTCTTCCCTCCCTCCCTCCCTCCCTCCCTCCCTCCCTTCCTCCCTCCTTCCCTCCCCCCCTCTCTCCCCCCCCCCTCTCTCTCTAGACAGGGTTTCTCTGTGTAGTCTTGGCTGT